TAGATAAAATCCGGGTTATAAAACCCAGGATATGATGAAAGGGTTCAGTCAGCAAAGACTATAACTATCATCCATGCAGACTCGCCAAAATGGCTAAGTTAAAGTAAACATGCGTCTTTCACAAAAAAAAAAAGTAAATATGCGTTATGAAAAATGACAGAAAGCGGAATCTGTACAATGCTTTGACCTCGGCCAGGTCAATAAAATGAAACTCGTAAAATGCACGAGTTAAGAAAATAAAATTTATTTGAGTTGTAAAAATAACCTGTCACAGATGGGGAAAACTCCAATAAAGCCTAATATGAGACTCGTAAAATACACGAGTTAAAAAGATAAAATCTATCCGAGTTGCAAAAATAACTCATCCTGGATAAGTAGCAACTCGGATAAGGTTGATGTCTTTATTTGCCTCAGTCATGAACTTAAGAGAATAAGCATGAGGTTTGTTCAGCAAAAATATAAGTCCTTAGAAGTATTTAATAAGTACTTCAGGCAACCCGAAAAGAAGATAAACCTTAAATAATTAGGCAAATGCGTCTAAGTTATTAAAGGGATATGCAATGCAAAGCATAAAAATGCAAAGGCAGATTATGAAGAAAGACAAAATACTTCAAAAAGTGAAAAAAATTAAGATCGGGAAAGCACCACGACAATATTCAAGGCAAATTAAAAAGGGGCTCAAACGAAAAAAGAAAAATTACAAGTTAACACTGGCATCTTGGTCCTTCAAGCAGTTGGGTTGGCAGGCGTCTCCTCTCGTGTAGCGGGACTAGTGGGCTGATTAGTGACCTCATCACCCGCTTCAACCATGATTTCCTCAACATTTCCGGTTTGAGTAACCGAATCACCAGTAGGAGATTCCGAAAGAGGAGCAACAATTTTACCCTTGCTGACATATGCCTTAGGGTGTAACCCAGATGCGTTAAACTGCAAATCAGGGTTGAACACTTTAAATTGATCCAAAGCATTATTAAAGGAGCCCACCACCGACTTCTCAAGTTCACCTCGGTAAAGTAGAGCTATGTCCTCAGCCTCCTTCCGCTTGGCCTCAACCCTTTCATGGATAATCTTGAAGTCTGACAAGGACTTGGATTTGAAAGCATGCAAAGCTTGAAGCTCAAAGTGTTTTCTCTGAAGTTTGGTGAAATTTTCTTTCATCTTAGACAAGTCCCAAATTGCCTGGTCATTCTCATCCTTCACTTGGACCAGTTCGGCAACAGTTTTCCCCTTCTCTTCCCGAGCTACATTCAGCTCGTTTAGGGTGCAGAGAAACTTGTTCTTCAGAGAGAGTAAAGGCCTAACCATGGTTGACATCTTCATGCAGGAGAGCTCCATATCCTCCAATTCCTGTATTTGAGTTAAGGTGAAAGGAGATGAGTTGAAGAAAGTCTCAAGGGGGAAAATAGCATCCCGAAGAGCACCAGTCACTCCCGATTGCCACAGTACATGTTTGGCAATCCCGGAAGATGGTGGAGGCATAGCGGACTTCGCCGCAGCTTGGGAGGAGGAGTGGGCACCTTTTTCGGCAAGAGCTCCTTTTGCTTTATTAGTCAGGATACCGTTGGTTTTCTCGGCATTGGAAGTGGAAGGACTCTTTGACTTGTTCTCAGGGGCCTTTCTTTTCTTGCCCGTCAAGTCGACAACAGCTTCCTTTTTACCCCGGCCCAAGACTGATAGCCAACTCGGTCGCCGTCTTGCTGGTCTTGGGGAATTTCTTGTTGTTGGTTTTCCATTCTGGGAACTGCAGCATCAAAGCAATAAACAGAGTCAAAACATGCAATATCAAAAATATGCACGTAAGTGTAAAAGCAAGGCATACTTATTTCAGCGTCAAGCTCATCTTGGGACTTGTAGAGAAGGGACGAAATGCTCACATAAGTCTTTGAATTGTTATATGCACACATGGCAATCACGCTAGTGACATCAGTGGCGCTCAACCCGGACTCCATAAAACGATAGCTAGATGAAGAAAATTGGTAATGGTCACATTGTCCAGAACAAAGGGGTTCGTCTATGTGGGGAGAGCCTAAATCGAAGTTCTCTAATTTCCCTACGGGAAGACCAGCCACATTGTCCACATTCATTTCGGACGTCGTGTTTTACACTTCATAGGTTACCCAGGGAAACTGGGATACTAAGGAGGCCGGAGGCAACTCAGAACATGACTCGGCGGAACTCGACTCCTCTACAACCTCTTGGGGAGGGAGATGCCATAAATACCTAAAATAATAAAATAACTTAATCAGAAGGACAGAATGTGCATACCTGAATTAAAAAATGCTACTAGATGAAGAATCACTAGAGGATGAAGAAGTCGACTTCTCCGAAATGGTGATGGGGTCGTTTGCCTCACCAGATGCAGAGGTAGATCCCTGAACATCTCCATGATGGCAACTAGCCAAAGTAGACTCAGCCAGAGAGTCACATCCTTGCTCAATAAACTTGGAACTCAGATAGACACAAGAATAACAAGGAACGATTTGCCGGATAAAGGAAGGATGGAGGACATCTCTGTTGATTGATGGAGGACCGGGTTGTGCTATAAGAGCATCACGGGAGGGCCTAGAACCGGATTGGGAGAAATACTGGGGAATACATCTACTCGCAGAAAGACGGGTCCTACCTTGGTTGGATGTACCTCTACCCCGACTCTGCCTTAATTCTCTATTAGATAACCTGGACCTCCTCTAGGATCTCCCACCGCGGCAACCGCGAAACATGGCCTCCCGCTCTTCCTCCTCGGTTCTGGGAATCCCCCACAACCAAAAATGAGCACTGGGGGGAATGTTGTGGAAAGTTCTGAACCTTGCTCATTCTTCTCCCCACAAGGCAAAACTGAAGAAGCAGGTTTTTTACCTATCATATTGTTAAGTTCCAAACGACACCAAATTTTAAAATAGCAAAGGAAAGATGACAAGGGGAGGAAAACACACAAGTGAAGCAACGTGCGACACTTTAGAAATGCAGAAAATTGATGCTAAAGGAAAAAACATCACAATAGAAATGACCAATGTCTAAAATGCAGACGGCCAAATGTAGAACATTCGGGAGAAATATAACGTAAATGTGAAGAAAAGTAATAAATACCTGAATGAGGAAGACGGAGGAGATGAATTTGCACAGAAAATGTATAGGAACACTTGAAGATGCTAACGCTCAAAGGATTTAGGGTAAGAAGCTTCTTCAGAATAAGCAAAGTAAAAAATGAAAAGAAGGAAAAGCTCGTACTTGTATAGGCACGAGGGAAACTGCTGCACTTACGAACGATAAGGGTCAGGGATACCAACACCATTTCACTCTCAAGGGGTAACTGCATCGGGCGTGGATGGCAAGGATCAGGGTCACCAGCATCATTGCACTTAAAAAGCAATGATTAGACGACTGAAATGACGTTGCTAGTAAATACGCACGAAATGCGAAAATGGCATAAAACGACTGCAGCACGCGGCCAGCAGCACATGTCAGAAGGGAATGAATGCTACTCATAAGCCAACACATGAGACTGAAGACATGTGTATAGGACAGCTCTTAGCCGGGTTACGTGACTGATGCTTGGGGAAACTCGCCAGTTGGATCCCAACTACTCAAGCACATTCATCACCCGGTTGCATATGCAGAGTATCTTGCCGGGTTCATGCATAACCCGGGAAAACCATTCTCGATTCCAAAAGAAAGCGATAAGCTCAGAACGTGTGTACAAGGTGTGAAGCTTGGGGGCAACTCTCTAGTTGAATCTCAACTACTCAAGCACATCCCAAACTCGGTATAGGAATACGTGAAATGCTTTCCTGGGTTCATGCTCAACCCGCCAAGATAATGGGCAATGAGGACCCCGTTTGAAAAACATTCAGATCAAGGAAACCAACATGCGAAAAGTTTACAAAAACTCAAACGCTTTCAGCCTAGCAAGAAGCTTGAAGTAAAGCAAGTAAAGTGCAAGGAAATGCACCCCGGCAACCTGGACGCCCAGGTAGCCTGGCTGAGGGGCAACTGTTATGGACCCGTATAAGGGGCCCACTGAATGGCAGGCCCAATAATGTGCAGTCCAAGATCTGAATCAATTATAATTACAAATAGTATCCATCAAGGATACTAATCCTAGTACGACAACATAGCAAACAGGCTTGGGCCCTTATCAGAGGCACCAAAGGCCCACATCATATTACCCACAGGTAACCTCTATAAATACAAGGTAAACCCTAAAGGTACGGTACGCTCTCTTTTACTGTTATGCTGCCATTTTGCACGCACACACCTCATTGGCTAACGCCGTTATTAGTTCATTGTGCATAGCGATCTGCTTGACTCAAGGATATCTCCTTCATAGATACCTTAGAGAGAGCACTAGATCCAAGATAAACTTACCAATTCATTGGGCTGAACATCTCTGTCATTAAAGCAGAACAATAACAATTTCACTATTTCAGGTATTGTTCTCTCTTTTTTAAAAGAAAGAAAAAGCTGTATACAAAAGAATAATTTATGATGATATTTTTATGATTGATTTTGTCTCTACACTTTTTTTTAGATAGATAAGGGCAAAAACATCCAAAAGAAAAAAAAAAGAAAAGAAAAAAGAGTACTAAAGACCCAGAGACAAACTCTAGCTTCCTCTAAGACAAATACAATATGAATTATCTGTCCGCATATAATTTACCCTCCCTATAACATTTCTGAAAAGGGATAGATGTACAACAGTACAAGTACATATTTTTCCTCATGAAAATTTTTTAATTTGTGAAAATAAAGTTGTAATAACAGTCTATTTAATTAAAAGAAATCTTAATCCACTAAAATTCAAAAATAGGCATATTTTTACGTAGTTTTTTTAATAAAAAAAACTCAAGTTGAAGTATTTTTTTTTTTAATTTAACATTTGTGGGAGTTTAGTGATAAAAATCTTTCTACATTTATCATTATTCTTACATTTCGGCTTTTTTCATATGTATTAAGCCCATGGGTCCATACCTATTTACCTTGCCTTATTCAACAATTCAACAAAAACCGTGTGTTCTCTAAAGTCTAAACCCTCACTTTTGCGGTTGCTCACTGCTCATCACACTATTCCAGTACCTGCGTTAAAGCTTACCTCTCTCTCTCTCTCGTTGCTTGGTAAGTAATCTTTCTCTTCTCTTCTAAGTGTTTTCTCTTTTTATCTTAAATGCCTATTTTTTCTAGCACTAGAATTATACCTCATTTCTCTGATCAGAGCGCTACCCTTCTCTTTATATGTTAAGTATTTCCCTATTTCCAATTAAATTTTGGATTTTGATACCTACCCATTCGTCTTTGTGCTAATGAGGTGCTCGATTTAATGCTTGAGTCAATGTTGCTTTTGGTGGTAATCAACTAATCATAGTCTCTCTGATTTCATTTTATTTTCCTACAAAACACAAAGATTGCCATTTTCATAGGCTCTTCAATTTGAGCCTTGCAATTTGGCATTTCAGAATTCCCAATTGAGAAGCATGTTCTGAGTTATTCTAACTCTGCAAGGCGCTACTATTAAGCGCCAATAGATCACAGGATTAACTATCATCAAGCTAGTTATTCGTGGAAGCAAGTAGATGTGCACCTCTAAGTTTAGTACACTGGAACTTTGTTAATTTGATGGATGTTTTAGCATTGAATTACGTTAAACTGATAACTCTTCTCTTCTTTTGATATAAGTTGAACGTAGGTTATCTTATTGTGTAAATTGGTGGCTTGCTTGCATTTTCTGCGTTAGTTTCTTTTGATTGTTGATTGTTCTTTTGAAATTAAACTAAGGGAGCTTTCAAGCACCTTGCCACAATATTTTCTGGCAATATGTAATTTTTAATTAAGGCTTTTTTTTTTATTCAACACTCAGTAGCCCTTTTCTCATTGCTGAAAGCTGGGTGTAGATGGTTGATGTTTGACATAGGCATGCATCTAAGGTCCTAAACACATGGGCCCAAGCAGCTTTCTATGGAATTTTACTAAAAAGTTCGTCACAGCTGGGCTCGTTACTCTGACTGTGTCTGATCGTTATGCGAGCGTTGTTCCGGTTCGAGGTGCCTCGATGTCTCCCACATTTAATCCTAAAACTGGTTCTTTGATGAGAGATTTTTCTGGTACTTTTCTTGCTAAAGGGGTTCATAAGAAAAAAATTGGTTTTTGCAATTGCAGATTTTGTTGTTTGACCATTGATTATGCTGCAGATGACTATGTCTTGGTTGAGAAAATTTGCCTTCAGGAGTACAAGTTTTCACATGGAGATGTGGTGGTCTTCTGGTAATAGTTTTGTCCATCCTTTTCCATGTATTGTATTCTTAAGAGTCATGTTTGCATTTATATGCCATATTTTCTTCTGGCAATGGTATCCTGGAATATAATTTAGCAGGTAACTATAGAACTAGCCATCATGAATCATTGTAATTGTTTTACCATTACAAAGTATGTTTTTGGATTAATATGGCATTTCTGTAGAAGTTATTGGCAGATGATGGTTCATTATGTGAATGTATGCTATCTGGCCTATATACATTAATTAACTATTTTTTAACTTATACAGTTATATGCATTGGTTGGCCCTTGTTCACAATGATGCTAATTTATGATATTGAACTATACTACTAAGTCTATTAATGTTTTATCAGAATTACATTTGAGACTTAAATTGCTGTTTTTGGAAGTTTTAATTGGCACATTCTGAAACTTCTGTAGCTCCCCATTGAATCACAAGGAGAGACACATAAAAAGAATAGTTGCATTACCTGGTGAATGGTTTGGCACCCGTCATAACCATGATGTGCTGAAGATTCCAGAAGGACATTGTTGGGTTGAGGGAGACAATGCAGCTACTAGCGAGGATTCAAACTCATTTGGACCTGTAAGTTGCTATTATCACACTGAGTTTCCAGCCAAGATATTGTTATGATAATGATACGCAAAATGAAGCAAGAAAAAGGTCTCTCCCAAAAGTTCAACCTGCTAGGTGAAGACACAGTAATTATTTTTATATTATATTTCTAACATGTTTCTTCACTGAAGATAGTTGACAATGCATTAGCCGACCTACCTTGTGCTTAAAATTCCACTTTTTTTATTAGAAGAATGGTGGTGACAAGGATTGAAATCTTAATCAGTTGGCCATAAAAGCTCTTATACCATGTCATGATTAACTTTTCCAAAAGTTTAACCTGTTAGGTGAAGACACAATAATGATTTTTATATTATATTTCTAACAACTGCCCTCACGCAAGAGGGTTGACAATACACCAATCCATCCACCTACCTTGTGCTTAGAATTCCACTTCTTTTATTAGAAGAATGATGATGGCAAGGAATGAACTCTTAATCACTTAGTCATAAAAGCTCTGATACCATGTCATGAATTAACTCTCCCAAAAGTTTAAATTGTTAGGTGAAGACATATGAATTGTTTTAATATTATATTTCTAACAAAAACAGTCTGTGTGTAAAGGATCAATACTTGAAATTAGAGTTTGGTGGCAATATATCGTCATTTACCATTTTAGTAGACTGGTTGGCCGAGGATATAGAATTGAAGTCAGTTATGAGGACTTCTCAAACATACTCTTTAGTATTACATTGTGAAAAACCTCAAGATTTCTATTACACAGCTCATCAAAACTTGACCAGTTAGGCTTTTATTGCTAGAAGAGGATAGGCATTTATTATTTGTCTAGCAATTTTGTGACTTGTTTCAAAATAATAGAGGCTGGGAGCTTCTTTGATCAATTCAATATCCTTAGATTGCATTGCTTAATGTAATTAAGGAAAGTCCTGCTCACTGTAGTTTCACCACCGGATCAACTTACTAATTTACATTCCACGTGTTTCATACATGCTTACTAGCCATGTTTTTTTGTGCACCTGAGCAAACCACTCTTTATTGAAGCAGTTAAGAATACCGCATTGTTAGACTAGACAGAAAATATTTACTGATTGGTGTTCTGGATTTTTTCTACGGAAACTGTTGATGGTTTTTCTTTTAATCCTCTAAAATTTTGGTAACCTGATAATCATGTTTGCAGATTCCCTTGGGTCTAGTTCGAGGAAGGGTGACCCATGTTGTGTGGCCTCTTCAAAGAATAGGAGCTGTCAAAAGTACTCCACCAGAAAGATTATCATTATAGTTGGATCCTATTTTTGTTTTGATCTCTATCATTAATGTTGTTCCTTTAGGTGTGAAAAACCGTTCTTTACTCTATTTTTGTCATTGGGGAGGGGAGATTTACTATCCTATTTGTTGATTGGATTAGTATAAAACATTGAATCTTCAAATGTTGATTACATTCTAAGCAAAGTTATGAATAAGATGAATGATATCTTAATTGCTTCTTTCTAAGCAGAAATAATCAAGATAACAGTGTTTCGAGTGGTGCCTACTAATATCCTAGTCCAATTGTGTTTCCTGCTCTCCTTTCATATATATTATGGGATGTGGTACTTTCTGCCACATTAGATTTTAGAGAAATTTTTGTACCTAAGTTGTATATAACAAGTCAATGAAATATTGAATAATTATGTTGATTTTTGCAAAAATACCCCTTGTGCACCAAACTCTGTATCATATATATACAATAATTTCTAGACCCTTCTAATTATTGAAGCAATGGTTGTGATTCATGTGTATAAAATATGAGAATATAATTTCTTATGTTTTCTGAGATAATTTTTGACTCGTGCACATACAAAAAGTTGGGTGAGATTCACTAAGAAGAAGAGAAAGAAAGAAAACGTGTTTTTGTATATGCATAAGATAAAATTGTCTTATTCAACATAAAAAACTATATTTCCATGTGTTTCGGGTTAGTTAACCCGGTTAGGCCCATTCGGTTATAGTTTGAAGGTTAGCCAGAGACTTTATTCCCAGATTAGCGGTAAGTCCCACGGTAAGTCCGGATTATGGGACTATATAATAAGAGCCCGGATTATGGGATCAAATCCATGATTCTTTCACGCTTTGTAATAACTTTCATGATTTTTATAACTGCTACGATCATCATTCATCATTACCAGAATTGCTCGACACTCGTTATCAATAATCGCTTATGAGAACTATTATAATTTATAAATTAAAAGATAGTACCAATGTAAAGGACTTTAGATAGATCATACTTACTCATACCTAGCAGTTACATTTATCCAATAATCCTTACATACATTTGGTGTTCATTCCGAACACCATGAAATAATATTGTTATGAAGCTGTTTTTACGTTCAGTGCTTCGTTATATTTTGGGAAATTAATTTCTTAGATATTGGGTCTTTATTGGCCTGAAGGGACGTTTCAGCAAGTTAGACATAGAGAAAGACACCACACCGTTAGGGTGATGATTTCTCTACTAAGAAGAAAAGCACGGTGATTTTTAAACACGAGTTTAAAAAAATTCGAGGACTAAAAATGCAATAAAAATATATATTATGGTTAAAATATATAAAAAATAGGGATAAGATATTCTAACTTTTTTTTTTCACACCTATTTTATATATTTATTTCCAACATCATTAGATTTGAATGTTAATAAATTTTTATTATTTCTCTCTATTCTTGATATTCTGATCCAATAATATTATAAATGAATAGGTAGAATAGGAGCTTATCTTGCGTACAGATGAAATACAAACTTGCTTTCCAAAAGTGGAAAAATATGGGACATAAATGGAAATAAATGTAAAGATGAGGGTAATGTGAAAATATTATTTTTTATTATATTTAACAAATGATGTACCGAATATTCAGTACAATGGGAGCACTAAAAATATTTTTGTAGAGTAGGCACAGAAAAAGTTAGACATAATTTCATATCCTTAACAAATATTACCTAAGAAAATAAACATAAAAGACAGTCCACAGAGATTTAGGAACATTGTGGATTGTCTTGCTTCTTTTTCCTCTTTAATGAAAATTATCTGTCGTACAAAAACAAACGATACAGTCATACAGGTTTTGTTACGAGAGTGAGGATATTCTAACTACTAAAAATTCTCACTACTAACTTAGTACCCATCACATTACTATTGGATCAAAGAGAGAGAATATCAAAAAGTTTTTGAAGAGAGAGAAAATATTAATCTAATGGTGATTAGATAAGTAATAAGTTGATAGTAGAAAATTTTGATAATTAGAATATCTGTCATCTAATTAATTAAAGAACATCCTTACCCACATAATGGATCTACAGGTTTCGGAAGATAAGAGTGAAGTCATTCATAATTCAAAATAAGATTATGGATAATAGGTCTATCATAAATTCATAATTCGAAATAAAAATATGGATAATAGGTCTTATCTAATATGTACGTAATTGAGAGTTTGAATCTTTCTCAAACCCTATTATCTTCAGAATTTCAAGTAAATCTTTCTTATAAATATAGACGCCAAACCCTATGCATATTACCAGTGGAGGAGCCACATGTACTTTGGGTGTGGTCTCGATATGGATTAAATTTTAACAAATCGTACTTATTATATATAATTAATTATAATTTGTCCCGGATTAAAATTATAATTTGACCCAGACTACAATTTCTAATTTGACCCTATGTAAAATTTAAAATATTTTTGATAAAAGATTTGATTAAGTTGTATTAGGTTATGTGTCTAATTTTTACTTGTATAAAATAAATAAATTATTTTTAGTAAAATAAAAATATTTAATAAAATTATAATTAATGCTGCTTGCTCAGATCTTCTGTATTTAATATAATTTAAATATATTATTATATAAATTAATTAAAATTAAGAAAAATAAATACAAATATAATTTTTTGATCCAGTCTCAAATTTGAACCTGGCTTTCTATAGGTTCACCACAACCTCGTGCCCAACAGAGTGCTCAACGAAGTCATCATCTATATAACAAAGAAGATCAAGGAATCACATCATCGATCGGTCCAGATATATTCCATATGAACACACGGTTAGAAAGATATAAAATAATTAATTTAGCCTCATCCAATATCTTGGGGCGTTTGGTAGAGGAGAAATTTTTTTTATCCAAGAATCTCAATTTTTAGAAATATGATAAAAACATTCAGTTTACGATAATATCCGAAAATTAAAAATTTAGAAAAATTCAGTTTTCCAGGAATCCTAAAAAATACCTCGTACCAAATGCCTCCTAAAGGTTCTGGGTTGAATTGATACTTTACATGGTATCAAAGCTACAGTGACCATGAGATCACGAGTTCGATGCTCACTGCCCTTCATATCACAAGGCAGACAAAAAATGGACTTGTGCAGCACAAGACAGACCAAAAAATGGGCATGTATCATATCCACGCTTCAAGCCCAAAAGCTTTTGCATGAGGGGGAGTGTTAGAGATATATGAAATAAATAATTTAGTCTCACCCAACGCCTTAAAATTTTTGGTTGAAGTGGCGTTTATCATGATATCAGAGTTTCAAGGACCATGAAGTCACATGTTCGATTCTGAACGCCCCCACTTTCAGGTAGAATTAAGAAAAGCACAAGGCAGACCAAAAAAAAAAAAGGCTTGTGCCATATCCATGCTTCAAGTCCAAAGCCCTCTTGCGTGAGGGGGTGTGTTAGAGAATAATATAAAAATATTAAAAAGGCCATAAGTATTTACCACCATAATACAAATCGATTTAGATTAGATTTGACTGGGTTAAAAGTATTAGAGAAGTATAAAGCTATCAATGTAACCTCACTTAATAATTTAAGTTTTTTTGAGTTAAATTCATTATTTACATGATATCAAAATTTTGGTATCACGAGTTTAATCCTTATTATCGCCCCTCATTTAATTAATAATTAATTAAGTCTAAGTCTTGTAGAGTTTCTTAGTACAAGTAAGTGAATTTGTGCATTGCCCATCCTTCTTATGTGAGGAGGCATCTTAGAGAAATATAAAATCATTAATATAACATCACCAGATTAAGCTTTTATGTTTCGAATCAAAATGATCAAGCCTTAAAACCAATTCAACCGAATGCAAACATTTCTATATATTCTTCTTATTTGTTTTCAAAAATATTAAGTCCTTATTTCTATAAGGGATTTACATCTCTTATTTCACGGTAAAACTTTCAAGATTCCCGCAGACACAACAATTAGTGGGCTCCATGAGATTTTTTTTATCAAAATAAATATAAATAAAGCACGCATTTTGATGAGTGTATGACAGAAGAAAATACTTCTCCTTCCAAAGGAGAAGTATAAAACCCAAATACTAAATAGACTAGATTTAAGAACTTCATTTTTTTTAAAAAAAAATCCTCTTAATAAAAAATATTAAATAATTTTATACTCTCTAAAATGTCAAATACTTTTAGTTTTGCATTTATTGTTTGAAATAATTTAGAGAATATAAGAAGATTTCTTAGAAAAATAAAACACTAATTTTAAACAAAGTTATTTTTTCAACCAGAATAAGATATTATGCCTATCTTTTTTATGTCTATTATACTCTACTTACTCATCTCCAATATCATTGTGTCAAAATCTCAAGAAGAGAGAAAAAGTATGAAAGTTAGTTAAAATTATGATTTAACGGTGTTAGAGATGAGTAGGTAAGATAGACATAAAAAAGTTTTTTTTTCAACCATAAAAATAAGGGATAAGATATTATGCTTATCTTTTTTCTGTTAGTATTTGGGTGTCCTAGAGACAATCTTATGATTAAATAAGGACATAGATGTAGACCTTTTTAATATTGTCGCAAATAAATAAAAGCACTCTTTATCTTGTTTCATAATTCTGTCTCGATATTAATGTTAATATATTATGAATAACTTGATAAACCCCGTGGAATAAAATATGTATCTCATGAGTATCTGTGATGAGATCACAATCATGAGGATTCAAGAATACCGGATGTTTATTCCTAATTTTATGTTCCTAGTCTAGAGATACTGAGAATGAGGTCAGTAATCTCGGGTAAGACTAGCATGACTTATCTACTTGTATATGGATACAAGGTATAGACCTCATGTGCTACAGATATGGAGATGTCTTAGCTAAAGTCGTGGGGACCTATAAGGGTATAGCTCGCACTGAACAGACCCACAAAGAGACTCTATGAGGAACTCTCACAGAGAGTATCATTAGAGTAGTCTCTTTATATTTGGGTATGTCTTTCCTAAGACCAGAAGTTATTACCTAGACTGTGTTCTAGAAGGCATGCTTTGATTGTGCACCTCGTCTGCCTGAAACATGGAGACTCATAGATAGGTATACTGTTGGGCTTGTCCTGAAAGAACACAGGGCTAGGGTGATAAGCTGAAGGAATTCGTCAAATCTCTGTGAGAGATTAGGTTATCTATAA